AGTGTCATAATGTGTGGTATGCTAAAGTATTGCATGTTTGGAGTCCATTCAGAGCTGCCATTGGGTCTTAAAGGGTGACTCCACTTTCGTGGGAAAAAAATTACAAATAAAAAATAATATAGAGTATACAAATGCTATGCAAGTCATATTGTAATTGAATGTTATCCACGGGTCCATGGAACCCCAGTGGTTCAGTACCAGTTGGCAGAGCTAGCAGCATGACACCAATGATCTTTGTAGATGTCTGCCACCAATGTAAGTGGGTCATTCTTCCCTGACCACCAATGTAAGTGGGTCATTCTTCCCTGACCACCAATGTAAGTGGGTCATTCTTCCCTGACCACCAATGTAAGTGGGTCATTCTTCCCTAACCACCAATGTAAGTGGGTCATTCTTCTCTGACCACCAATGTAAGTGGGGCATTCTTCCCTGACCACCAATGTAAGTGCAGTATTCCTGCCTGACCACCAATGTAAGTGGGGCATTCTTCCCTGACCACCAATGTAAGTGCAGTATTCCTGCCTGACCACCAATGTAAGTGGGGCATTCTTCCCTGACCACCAATGTAAGTGGGGTATTCCTGCCTGAGCACCAATGCAAGTGAGGCATTCTTCCCTTACCACCAAAGTAAGTGGGGCATTCTTCCCTGACCAGCAATGTAAGTGCAATATTCCTGCCTGAGCACCAATGTACGTGGGGCATTCCTGCCTGAGCACAAATGTACGTGGGGCACTCCTGCCTGAGCACCAATCTAAGTGGGGTATTCCTGCCTGAGCACCAATGTAAGTGGGGAATTCCTGCCTGAGCACCAAAGTAAGTGGGGCATTATTCCCTGAACACCAATGTAAGTGTAATATTCCTGCCTGACCATCAATGTAAGTGGGGCATTCCTCCCTAACCACCAATGTAAGTGGGGCATTCTGCCCTGACCACCAATGTAAGTGGGGCATTCTTCCCTGACCAGCAATGTAAGTGGGTCATTCTTCCCTAACCACCAATGTAAGTGGGTCATTCTTCTCTGACCACCAATGTAAGTGGGGCATTCTTCCCTGACCACCAATGTAAGTGCAGTATTCCTGCCTGACCACCAATGTAAGTGGGGCATTCTTCCCTGACCACAAATGTAAGTGCAGTATTCCTGCCTGACCACCAATGTAAGTGGGGCATTCTTCCCTGACCACCAATGTAAGTGGGGTATTCCTGCCTGAGCACCAATGCAAGTGAGGCATTCTTCCCTTACCACCAAAGTAAGTGGGGCATTCTTCCCTGACCAGCAATGTAAGTGCAATATTCCTGCCTGAGCACCAATGTACGTGGGGCATTCCTGCCTGAGCACAAATGTACGTGGGGCATTCCTTCCTGAGCACAAATGTACGTGGGGCACTCCTGCCTGAGGACCAATGTAAGTGGGGTATTGCTGCCTGAGCACCAATGTAAGTGGGGAATTCCTGCCTGAGCACCAAAGTAAGTGGGGCATTATTCCCTGAACACCAATGTAAGTGTAATATTCCTGCCTGACCATCAATGTAAGTGGGGCATTCCTCCCTAACCACCAATGTAAGTGGGGCATTCTGCCCTGACCCAATGTAAGATTCTTCCCTGACCAATGTAAGTGGGGCATTCTTCCCTGACCACACCAATGTAAGTGGGGCATTCTTCCCTGACCACCAATGTAAGTGCAGTATTCCTGCCTGACCACCAATGTAAGTGGGGCATTCTTCCCTGACCACCAATGTAAGTGCAGTATTCCTGCCTGACCACCAATGTAAGTGGGGCATTCTTCCCTGACCACAAATGTAAGTGCAGTATTCCTGCCTGAGCACCAATGTAAGTGGGGCATTCTTCCCTGACCTCCCAATGTAAGTGGGGTATTCCTGCCTGAGCACCAATGCAAGTGAGGCATTCTTCCCTTACCACCAAAGTAAGTGGGGCATTCTTCCCTGACCAGCAATGTAAGTGCAATATTCCTGCCTGAGCACCAATGTACGTGGGGCATTCCTGCCTGAGCACAAATGTACGTGGGGCATTCCTTCCTGAGCACAAATGTACGTGGGGCACTCCTGCCTGAGGACCAATGTAAGTGGGGTATTCCTGCCTGAGCACCAATGTAAGTGGGGAATTCCTGCCTGAGCACCAAAGTAAGTGGGGCATTATTCCCTGAACACCAATGTAAGTGTAATATTCCTGCCTGACCATCAATGTAAGTGGGGCATTCCTCCCTAACCACCAATGTAAGTGGGGCATTCTGCCCTGACCACCAATGTAAGTGGGGCATTCTTCCCTGACCAGCAATGTAAGTGCAATATTCCTGCCTGAGCACCAATGTACGTGGGGCATTCCTTCCTGAGCACAAATGTACGTGGGGCACTCCTGCCTGAGCACCAATGTAAGTGGGGTATTCCTGCCTGAGCACCAATGTAAGTGGGGGATTCCTGCCTGAGCACCAAAGTAAGTGGGGCATTATTCCCTGAACACCAATGTAAGTGTAATATTCCTGCCTGACCATCAATATAAGTGGGGCATTCCTCACTAACCACCAATGTAAGTGGGGCATTCTGCCCTGACCACCAATGTAAGTGGGGAATTCCTGCCTGAGCACCAATGCAAGTGAGGCATTCTTCCGTTACCACCAAAGTAAGTGGGGCATTCTTCCCTGACCAGCAATGTAAGTGCAATATTCCTGCCTGAGCACCAATGTAAGTGGGCCATTCTTCCCTGAGCACCTCAGGCCATCATTGTAAGTCAGACATTCCTCCTTGACAATGTAAGGGAGGCATATGTTCCTGACCACCAATGTAAATGGGGCATTCTTCCCTGTCCACTAATGCAAGTGAGGCATTCTTCCTGGACCACCAATGTAAGTGGGGTATTCCTCCCTAACCAACAATGTAAGGGTGATATTGTTCTCTGACCAGCAAATCTAGTGGGGCATTCTTTCCTGACCACCAATGTGAAACCTTCTTCCCTGACCACCAATATAATGGCCGCATTCTTCCCTGACCACTAGTGTAAGGGGCCATTCTTCCCTGACTACTAATGTCAGAGGGAATTGCATCCTGACCACCAATGTAAGTGGGGCATGTTTCCTTTACCACCAATGTAGATGAGGCATTTTTACCTGCCCACTAATGTAAGTGGGGCATTTCTCCCTGACCACCAATACAAGTGGGACATTCTTCCCTGACCACCAATACAAGTGGGACATTCTTCCCTGACCACCACTGTAAAGGCCCATTGTTCCCACTAATCCCTGATAAATTAATATTAGCATGGGTTCCCTGAGGCCTGAATATAATTTCCAGATTCCCCCAAGATAAACCTACCTATTTAAAGTGGAACTTCATTCTCTCAATCAACACTGACTATTTTTAATCCTTATGCTGCTCACATTAGTAAATGGATAGGAAAGTATATCATGTTTACTTGTGTTAAACTTTTTTTTTTACATTTCTTCAGTTACTTCCTGGCTTCCATGCCTAGGCAAATGTCACACATCCCAGGAGTCTTCAAGAGGAGAGGGTTCTCAGCTCAGCCTATGCCTGACCTAAGGGCAGATGGATTCCAGGAAGTAACTGTTACACAAATCATCTGCCTTCACTTAAGGTGGCTTCAGCCAGAATTTTGAGTGGCTGTTTTTCAAAATGATTTCTTAGAAAAATAAAGCATGGAGACATGGATGGTTGGAAAAAAATGAATTGAATAGTGTTTTTGGTTTGTGTTGATCAGGTGCAGTGCAGTTCCAGCATGACCCACACACACCCTAGCTGTTTATGTGTTATTGAGCATAGATCTGGACGTAGAGCCCTTTCCTGCCCCCGGCTTTTCATGCATAATGACAGAAATATAAATGATAGAATCTTCTCTATTTCCAGGGTGGATGGGAATCCAGCAAACCATTCTACATGAATCGCTGGGATGGCAGCTCTCTGTAACTTCTGTGCAAGAAAGACTTGCCAAAGGGAAATTGTACAGCATAGTTCACCCAGCTCTGTCACAAAGATTTCCTGTTTTTGAAATCCACAGTAACTGTGATAATACATTTTCAGATGTAGTTTCTCATGATGACACTTTTTTCCAGGGAGAATAACTCCATATTCTTATCCCATGCAGCATGAGAGCAGATTATTGTGAGCTGGGCTTGTGCCTCAGGCTGCAAAAATGTAACATGTCTGCGACGTATTAGCACCTTCCCTCTAATGTGCAGCAATAAGAGAGGCAGGAACATCACATTCCTTCTAATACTTTATATCACACGTCAGCAGCCTTTTCCACACTAAAACAGAGCTCCACACAAAAATAAAATAATAGCTTCCTAAAGATAAAATAATAAAACCAGCTTTTGCCTGCAATATTTGGTTTAAAGTGTTACTAAACCCACCATGTGGAAGAAGAATATAATTGAAATATATTTTAAAAATATTCTTCCCAAATATATTGACATATATTTGAAATGCTACAACTTTGACCCTATATATATATATATATATATATATATATATATATATATATATATATATATATATATATATATATCATGTTGATATGCGTTTTTATTACAAGATATATGGAAAAATATTTTTAAAAATACATTTCAAATATAATGTATGTCTTTAAAAATACAAATCTGCATTTTTGGAATGCATTTACAAATATATGTAAAAATATACCGTATTCTCTGGCGTATAAGACGTTTTTTTTTACTTAAAAACATACCCAACAATTGGGGGTCGTCTTATACGCCGGGTATAGAACCGCTGGATGTGCGGTAATACTGTACGGTAGCTTCAGCTACATACAGTGTACCGCGCTGAGCCAATCACGGCAAGCGATGTATTCTATTAATGAATACAGAGCCTGCTCGGAGTGGCTGAAGTTGTGACATCATCAGCCCGCCTCTCTGACGCAGCCAATCCGAGCAGGCTCTGTATTCATTAATAGAATACATCACTTGCCGTGATTGGCTCATATGACGTCCTCCCATTCTCCGCGCATGCGCGGCGATGTGCTGTGTCCCTCAGACACAGCGGATCACCGATCACGGAAAGAGCCGAAGATGTCAGCTCGGTCATGTGATCAGCTGTGTCCAATCACAGCTGATCACATGTAAAACCCGGCGGATCGGCATTTCTCTCTCTCGAGCTGTCACGCTGACAGAGGAGAGGAGAGCTGGTAACCGGCTTTCCGCGGAGGGGACATGTACACTGATCATCAGGGCACTGATGATCAGTGTGCCCTGATGATCAGTGTAGCCCCAGCAGTGCCAGCTGTCAGTGTCCATCAATGCCACATATCAGTGCCTACCAGTGCACATCAATGCCACATATCAGTGCCCATCTGAGCTGCCTTTCAGTGTCACCCATCAGTGCCAGTCAGTGCCACCTATCAATGCCTACCAGTGCACATCAATGCCACATATCAGTGCCCATCTGAGCTGCCTTTCAGTGTCACCCATCAGTGCCACCTATCAATGCCAATCAGTGCCACCTATCAGTGCTGCCAATCAGTGCCGTTTAGTGCCAGTCAGTGCCATGTATCAGTGCTGCCTTTCAGTGCCCATCAGTGATGCCTGTCAATGCCCCTGTCGCTGCCAATCAGTGCCTCCAGTCAGTACCGCCTATCAGTGCCAGTCAGTGCCGCCTATCAGTGCGCATCAGTGCTGCCAGTCAGTGCCGCCTATCAGTGCCATATATCAGTGCCATGTATCAGTGCTGCCTTTCAGTGCCCATTAGTGATGCCTGTCAATGCCCATCAGTGCCTCCTCATCAATGCCTATCAGTGCCACCTATTTCATATGGGTACAGTGTTGCATGACCGTGCAATTGTCATTCAAAGTGTGACAGTGCTGAAAGCTGAAAATTGGCCTGGGGGGGAAGTGAGTATAAGTGCCCTGTAGGTTAGGGGTTAAATGGTGTTGTCTCAGAAGGGGGTAGTCTTATACGACGAGTATAGCCCAAAACTTATGTTTTAACTGGAAAATTAGGGGGTCGTCTTATACACCCAGTCGCCTTATACGCCGGGAAATACGGTATGTTAAAATTACTTTTTTATATGTTAAAAAAAACTTAAGAATATATTTAAAAAATATATATTTTTAAAAATACACATTTCAAATATACTTTATGTCTTTAATAATACAAATCTGCATTTTTGGAATGCATTTACAAATATATGTAAAAATATATGTTAAAATGACTTTTTTATATGTTAAAAAGAATCTGAAGAATATATTTAAAAAAAATATATTTTAAATGCATTCCAAAAATGTAAATTTGTATTTTTAAAGACATACAGTATATTTGAAATGTATTTTAAAAAATATTTTTCATATATTTTGTAATAAAACGTCAAAAAATAAAAGTCAGCAGCTACAAAAACTGTGGCTGCTGACTTTTAAAGAACAGACACTTACCTGTCCCTCGTTCCCACGGCGTGTCCCCTGCGGCCCGATTCACCGGCCGTCCTGTATTCAATCAATTTACCTAGGTAGATGCTGCATCTGTCCCCCGCTGGCTCTAAAACTGAGAACTGAGCAATCAAAGACAGCTGATCGCTCAGTTCTCAGTGCTTCATGAGCAGAGTGCTGGTGACTGTCAATCATCACCATCTGCTCCCCCCCCCCCCCCCCCCCCCCCCCGCAGTGGTCACTGGAGCACTGAGGAGGGGGTGGGAACAGTTGGATCAAGCTCTCAGCTGAGAGGCTGAGCCAAGTGTCGGTCCAGACTCTGGGGTGGATCCCAACTTTTAAAGTTGGGCTCTTTCTCCAGCCTGGACCAGCTGAGTGCCATCAGCCCACATTGGGCTTTAGCCTGCTGTTAGCTGAACACAGGTCACAGAGTGCTGCATAAATTGCACTCGTGATCCACAGGAGAAGTACAACCAAATGAGCCTTGGCTGTACTCCTTTAAATGTCATTTTTACAAGAATTCGACAACTGGCCTCTTGGTGAACAATAGCATACCATAGCTATATAGTTTGTTTTACATTTTTGGGAAGGCTCTTAGTTCCGTTCAGCCCATACAGAACAAACATCTGGTTGGGGTATACAGATTATAACAAGTCCCAAATTCTGCACCTTCTCTATGCAGAAGTTCGTCTATACCTCCTCCATCCACAGAACACTTTGCATCCTGTGAATAGAATTGCAAAACATTTTCTGAATGGAGGAGGTGCAAAGCAAGTTACCCACTATAATCTGTGTACTCGGCACAGGATGCTGTACTATACTGGCTGAATGAAAGTAAGATTTTTCTTAAAGCGGAGTTCCAGTTACACTGAAAAAAAAATAGTCAGCAGCTACAAAAACTCACCTGTCCCTCAATCCCCCGGTGTCCTTCCCACAACCCATTTCACCAGCTGTCTGGGGTTCCCGGCGCCGGCATCTTCAGTGTGGGCACCCGCCTGTGACAGCTTGCAGCTTCACAGCCAGGTGCCCACTGCACATGTGCGAGTAGCACTGTGCTTTCTGAATGGCCCTATAGTCTTCTGGGACCTGTCACGTGTCCCAGAAGTCTACGGGGAGTGGAGGACAACTTGCAGTGGAAGTGGGAGCGGGTACCTGCCAATTTTGGGTACCCCCTTTCCCACCCCCACTCCCCAAAGGTGCTAAATCCTTAATGGGGAGCGGGGGACCAGTCTTTAAAGCAGAACTTCCCTTTTTTGGGTGGAGCATCACTTCAAATGCAGCAGCAGCCACTCATGATACACACTTATTAATGGTAATTTATTTTTACAATGTAAGTGTCCTAAAATTCTTTTGGCCACAGTTCACCTTTAAAGCCATATTAAATCCAAAACTTAAAATGTAATAATATTTCAGCCTACCAGTCATTACATGTGGTGGCTGCATTAGTTTTCTTTTTATATAGGCTTTTTTCCCCTCTCTTTTCACCCAGTTATCTGGCCAGTAACACACCTCCTGTATTAGAGTGCCCCCACTCTGGATGAAGGAGCAACTGGGACACTTTTGGACAGCAGTATTCTCAGTCAGGGGGAAGGGGAGTGTTAGATACACTAGCAGATTTAGATACACTAACAAATTAAAGCCTAAATTCAGCTCATGCTTTTTTATTATTATTATTATTATTATTATACAGGATTTATTTAGCGCCAACAATTTGTGCAGCACTACAGTTTCTTTGCTTTTGGGATACAGGATTTACATATATAATTATTATTATTATACAGTATTTATATAGCGCTAAAAGGTTTGTTTAGCGCTGTACATTATAAATATATAAAAGCTAACCACTATAAGCACCTTTATCTGTGGTAAATGGTTTGTCTCAGCCCTCTAACTGCTATATCTGCAGGACAGCTTGTTCTTTTGAAAAACAGACCTGCTGGTAGGAACCTCAGGTGGAAATAAAGGAAAGAAAACCTAAAAAAGAAAACGAATGCAGCCACCACATCTAAGATTTGCTAAGTTGCAATATAATTAATGTTTGCTTTTGGGTTTATTACCACTTTAAAGCATAGCTGTATTTTCAGAGAAAATATATTTATCCGTATGCTTTGATACATAAGGTCAATGACCATTTGACCGGTTTGCTTCTCTTGTATCTGAGAAAAGTATCGCTAAACCACAATCTACAGTGATTTGGCTGGAAGTATTGTAGTATATATATAACCATGCTTGTGTCTTGTCAGTTGTTTGATTATCTAATGCAAGGAGAAAAAAAAAGCGTCAAGTGTCAGGGATAGTATGGCAGTGTGTATGTAATCTGTCACATAGCAGACGCCTGTTTTCCTGCAAGATAACGGGATCAGTGTCTCCTATGTATTGGGTCTTGGTGAAAGCAATTATTTGACTTCCGTGTGACTGTCTGCTAATGAAAGGATGCATGTTCTGAATATTCGAGGATAGTGTTACTGAAAGTAGATGATGTTGTCTGCTATTATAGGTTGTGACATATTCGTCTTTCTTAGGAAACAACGTTTTTCCTTTTAAAGGTCACGTGTAAGATGCTCTCTCACTCCCCTTTTTTTTCTTCTTAAAGCAAACTGTAGAGAGAGAAATATGTAGGCTACCATTATTGACGTCCTTTTACTAGTGCTGTTTCCCTATCTGTTATTTTAGTTCGACTTAAAGTGGAGTTCCACCTAAAAATAAAAATCAGCAGCTACAAAAACTAGCTGCTGACTTTTAAAATAAAGCCACTTACCTGTCCCTCGGCGGTGTCCCCACCACCGCTGGTTTCACCGACCGTCTACTCTCCCTGGCGCCAGCATCTTCAGTGTGGGCACCCGGCTGTGACAGCTTGCGGCTTCAAAGCCGAGTGCCCACTGCACATGCGCAAGAAGCGCTGCACTTTGTGAATGGGAACTTTCACGTATCCCAGAAGACTATGGGGAGGGAAGGGGGAGGACAACTTCCGATTGCCTAGGTGATTGCAGCAGACGTGGGAGTTGGTACCTGTCAAATTTGGGTACCCGCTCCCCAAAGGTGCCAATCCTTAATGGGAAACGGAGGAGAAAGGCTTAAAGCAGAACTTCCCCTTTTGCGTGGAGCTCCACTTTAAAGTATTATTAAAGGATAAGTCCACCTTTCTACAAAAGTAATAAATGCACATTTTTTTGCAGGTAAAAAAATGGACATTTTTTATTTTTTTGTAGTAGGAGCCTGTAGAGCATTGTGTAACGGAACCAACCCAGACTGCGCTTGAGTACTTCCGTTAGAATACCGCTTCCCCGTCACCGACAACAAACACCACAGCAGACCATACAAGACTAGACAACACTAGTCTATCTGAACATGGAACTCTTTATTTCAAATTCAAACAGGCTCTTTATACAATATATGCTGAGACTGATCACATGATCATATGCAAATGAAGCTATATACAGAAATAGACTTAACACTCTAAACATTAAGTTAATTAGATTAGCTAGCTGGGTGACCAAAACAAAAGGTGAATGGGAATTCACACCTAGACAATGGTTTGATGGATTAGGATCTCACTACAGAGCAGACAGTCCAGCTCCTACACTGGAGTAGAGGAGAGCCAGCGTGATCAGCTCTTTCAATTCACATGTCTAGTTTAGAATCAACAACCAGGAATAGTCTTCATATGGCTGATAAATATTACTGTCCCATCTGAAGTAATTCCAACCGCATTCTCAGCGTCCATTAGTCACCCTGTGCCCCTAAGTGACACAGGGTGACTTGCACATAATAGTGATATGGGGAGCTGAGACGGGTCTCCCAACCTCTGCAAAGTAAGCTGGGTTCCATGAGCCCCCCCACCCAAAGTGACTCCCATCACACATTGCACCAGCGATCAGCAAATCGCTGATGCCATGCAGGTCTCCTGCAAATTGTCAGTGTATTTTCTTGCTCATACATCGTACGGGGAAGCTGATGCTTCTGATAGGAAGACTCAATGAACTACCACATCGCTCTCAGCGCTGGGATAGTTACATTAGGAACTACAAGCTGACAGCCGCTAAGTACTAAGATAGTCCATTCATTCACAAAACACTG